TTTGTGAGGTTTATTTAAAGAATTCTTATGCTGTGTGAGAGGACAGTGAATTTGAGAATAAAAAATTAATCGTGTTCTTTTGGGAGAGTATCCCGTGTTCTGGAGAGAGTATCTGCTTTTATCTTCCCATTCGTTCACGCTTTCGCTACATCAATCACACAACATGGAAAAACAGAAAAAAAAAGTCTACAGAAATCGAAAACAAAGTCATAGCTAAAAACTGAGGCTCAGCTTCTTTGGATGAAAGACATACAAAAGAAACCATATAAAATCACGCTCACAAAGTGAAATTTCAACAATTGTTGTGAAGCAAAAAAAGCCCATATTATCTAGATAACGTGGTTCAGTAAGGCCCAAATGGGGAACACCAGCAGGAAGACAATCCCGAGCGTGTTCGAGATACCATGGCTCTGCGTGAAGGAGTTCCGGAAGCCTCCAGATGCTCGGATATGCTCCTGCAGTAAATAACAACCTACGGCAAGACAAATTGCCACCCCAACCCAGTGGTCTCTCACCGTGTGGGCAAAAAAATCGGGCGAAACCACCAGCAGAAGAATCAACGAACCCGGCATGTCCAGCCAGTCTACACAGCCAGTCGATCATGTTCGTAACTTATAAAAAGATGGGCTAAAATTCTGGATAATATCTGTAGTTGTTCCTTTTTTAACTGCAACGAAAGTATATTGGCTGGTGTACCTGGGAAATGTCTGGGGAAGAAAAGCCTAAGCACAACAGCAACAAATGCAATCCATTTACCGACTTCTCCCCTATATGATTAATTATGGAGAGCCTTTAGTAAAAGATTATTCTCACATTCAAGAACTGAACTGTATATATAATCATATAAAAAGTTAAAAACATCAGATAAGTTTGAAATGTTCACCTAAGAAAGTGGAACAGGACGTGGGGAAAACTGAAGAAGATGTAAGGGATGAGAAGTGAGGTCAGCATATTTGTTCTCCAGTTTGTCCGGTCCAAGATCAACAAGTAGCTGCAGTAAGAGACAAAATTACCAATAAGGGCATGTCACACTCTTGGCCCTTTACGTCGTAAATTCCTCTATTCTAGCAAAGAACTATCTCCTCCCAGTCTCAAGGTAACAACTCAATCAGAAGTATGCAAAAATATAACAAACGAGATAAATCGACATAAACACAAGTTTTCTGCAGCCGGAGTAAGAAAGCAAAAGAAGACACTTTTAAACTAACAACATTGCCAACGAGAGCTAAAATCTTATGCAATATATTCACACCAAGTTAAGTAAATAAAAAAAAAAAAAATCAATCAAATAGGATTGCATTATACAGTCCTTAATTCCCTCTCGTATTCTTGTAAAATGCATCGTGATTTTATGACTGAGCACCACAAGATCACAGAATGAGAAATAAGAATTTGAACATACTCCAAGATTAACGTACACGAGGGACCAAGCTAATTAATTCCAATCGACAAATACACATCTGACGACAAGAATTCAACCGATAAACAACACAACAAATACTGGACAGTTTCCCTAATTTCACCCGCACATTGAATCAAACAAAACTGATAAAATGAACACTCTCAACTTTTTTCAAAATTGTTGGAGTATCACTTGTGACTTGTCCCACATTGATTTTATAGGAAAAATGAGCCTAGTATATAAGCCAAGTGGGCTACTCCTCTCATCACCAATTGGTTTTGGGATGGAACCTCACTATGGTGCACCTAGGCTCACCCTCTTATGGTGCGTTTAATATGCGTGGGAACGCACCCTCTTGCACCCTCTTGCCACGCACCCTCTTGCACCCTCTTGCCGCGATTCTCTAATCTTACAAAAATAATAAACAAAGGTGTGTAATCCGGTTGAGAACTCACAATGAATTTACAAAGACTAAACACGAGTTTTCGTCATCGGTGGTAGGGAAACAGAGGAAAAACCATTTAAACTAACCACACAGCAAACGAGAGATTAAATCTTACACATCTGATGACAAAAGTTCAACTCATAAACACACATCTGATGACAAAAGTTCAACTCATAAACAACAGATAATTGACAAATTGATCCCTAATTTGACATCTTATCCATCACACATCATCCGCTCGCAGAGGAAAATCAAACAAAATCGATACAGTAAATACCCTAAATCTGGGGGAAAACTCACATGGCGGCGAAGGAGGCCACCCATCTGAGGAAGGAAGTGCCGACGGCGCGGCCGCCAAGCTCGGAGGCGTGGCCGATGAGCTTCT